AGTGTAGCAATGCTGAAACATACAACTTTTCCTCTAGTTCCTAAATGCTTCCTCTCCCCGACCCCCACCCCCATTATCATGATCCCAAGTCTACCTTACAAATCTGGCCAGATCAGAGGATGTACACTGGTACAGGTAGGAACTGGAAACACAGGGAATCCAGGGCAGATGATCCTTCATGACCAGTGGTGAGAGCGGCAATACAAGGAGGGATGAGGGAAAGTGGGGTGGAAAGGGGGAACCGATTACAAGGATCTACATATAACCAGGTGAAGGGAGATGTTGGACACTGTAAGCTATGACAAAACAATAATTTATAAATTATCAAGGGTTCATAAGGGAGGGGGGAAACTCAGGAGCTGATGCGAGGGGCTTAAGTGGAGGGCAAATGTTTTTAGAATGATGAGGGCAATGAATGCACAAATGAGCTTTACACAATTGATGCATGTATGGATTGTGATAAGAGTTGTATGAGCCCCTCATAAAATGATTACCCAAAAAAAGCTAGGATGGTGAGGCTTTGTCTCACATACTTTGGACATGTTATCACATGAGAGACCAATTCCTGGAAAAGGGCATCACATTTGTAAAAGTGGAAGGCCATCAAAAAAAGAGGAAAAAGTTTTTTTAAAAAGAGGAAGACCATCAAGAAGATGGATTGACACAGTGGCTGCAACAATGGGCTCAAACATAACATTTGGGAGGATCACACAGAACTAGGCAATGTTTCCTTCTGTTGTGCTTAGTCACTATGAATAAGAACTGACAGGATATTCTCTAACAATAATCTATGTAGAAGGTCTTCCATGAAAGAGTTGATGGATTTGAATGGCTAACCTTCAGGTGGGAGCTGAGCCCTTACCACTGCACCACACCATGGCCTCTCTATGACCATTACAACTCAACTCACTGCCCTCGAGTCAATGCTGACCCATAGCGACTTATAGGACACAGTAGAACTGCAGCTATAGGTTTCTGAGGCTGTAACTATTTATGAGAGTAGAAAGCCCCATCTTTCTCCCAAGGAGCAGTTGGCGGCTTCAAACTGCCGACCTATTAGGCCACACAGCCCAATGCATAACCACTATGCCACCAGGGATCCTACCATGGTTTAATCATGAAAGCTTTAAACTAAAGTTTACACATAACTGTAACTCACAGTAGCTTCAATCATTTTAAAAACCGAGTTAAGGAATGATTCATGTTTTAAACAGTAACTTTAATATTGACGATTAATGTTTATATTTATAATTAATATTAACTAGTCAAATTTAGTGTTGTCTTCCATTCAGGAGACCTGGTTCAATCCCCTGCCAATCCAGCCCAAGGGCAGCTTCCACTTAACTGTCAGTACAGGCCTGTATGTAGTTATGATGCTGAAAAGGGTTCAGCAGAGCTTAAACTAGTTAGAAAGGTTTTTCACTTCTGAAAAACCAACCACTGAAACCATATGGATCCCAACAGTCCAGTCATACTGATTGTGGAGTAACCCTAAGTCAGGGACTGACTTGAGAACAGCAAACAACAAAAAGTTCAATGACAGATTGATGATTATTCTATGCCACCACTCTCAAACTAACTCAAAGTGCAAAAGCTTTCCTTTCTGTTGTAGAAGGAACAAGGTCCCAGTTATTGCACCCTCATCTTAATACGTATAACACTGCCTATAGTAAATTTCGAAGTGTAACTTTTCCCCTACAAAAATACACTTGATATGGGGATAACTGCACAACTCATTTTAATATATTTAAAGCATTGAATTATACGTTAACTCTATGTCCAAGCTTAAATAAACTGAGTTCTTATGGAGATTTCATGAGGGGATTTAATTTTTTTTGGAAAAAAAAAATCATTGTTTAACTCCATTTTTTCCACAAACTTGTTAAAGCTCTCATGCATATGCACTAAATTGAGGCAATTAAAACTGAAACTCAGTGCTAATATTAAAACTAACCAAAATACCCCAATGTGGAAGATATGCAACAATCTCAAGTCATGTGAATTTAACTGGTACTTATTATGAGACCTTACTATATTAGAATACTAAAAATAGACAACGCATTACCCTGAACTATTCTATTAGTAAAATAATAATAGGGGGAAAATTCAACATATAATTCCTAAGAGAGACAACTACTGAAAGAACACAAATATGAATAATTAAGATTAAAAAAACCCTCTAAAAAATAATACAAATATGCCATAGTGACTAATAAAACTATTCCATACTCTATTAAAGATGTCTATTACTTTCATTTTGCATAACGAATGGTATGCTGTCTCACCAAAACAAAAATCCTTAATTTAAAACATCAAACAATTAGTAGAGGCCACAGATACTGCAAGGCCATAACCCCCAAACAACAAAAATAACAACCTTTACATAAATATATCCTCTTCAGTTGGTTCATAGGAGAACTTCAGAGTTCTCAATCAAAAGCAATTTTACAGACAGTTTCAATAAACCTGAGTATTTCTTCCTCAATCAAGCCTTGGTGCATGCGGTTTAAGGCAGGGGAATTTGTGATTTGTTAAAGAAATAATCCCATTGCCAACAGATTAAAATGAAAAGAGCTGGAGCAATTGCTAAATGGGTATGTCATCCTGTACATAGAAAACGTGACAATCCACGTTCTCGATTCTAGCATTATTTCAGAACTGATACAAGATAAAATGATCACAACAGTATCACTGTTATGAACTAGCAATTACTATCCACGAACACATTTTTTTCTTATCTGGTGTTAGCTACTAAAAGTTTCAAGACACCTCCCGGCCCCTACACTCCCAACCCAATTTTCAAAGCATCTATCTAACTGCTTCTAGGATAGATCCGTGATCACTATTACAAAAACTTGGAACTGCAAGAGTGATGTGACAATACATTTAAAATCAACACAAAAAGGAAGCTTTCGTACAATTGCCAAAACGACGGACACTTCATTCAAAAAGCCCTTGGCTTAGCTCTTCGCAAGACTTCAAAAGATCCCCTGCCATGAAGTCGACTGCAACTCACAGCGACCCTTTAATTATGGAGCAGTGCCCCATAGTTTCCAACGCTGCTACGTCCTTATGGAAGTAAACCGCTACGTACTCGACAGTGGCTGATGAATTCGAATTGCTGATCTTCTGGTTAGCACTGCACCACTAGGACTCACTTTAAAAGACTAAAAACCTACACCCACTGCTATTCAGTGGATTCAGACTCACAGCGACCCAATAATAGGGTTTCCAACACTGTAAGTCTTTCCGGGAGAAGGCTGCTTCACTTTTCTTCCACGGGGCTCCTGGTGGAGTTGAACCACAAACCGTGCAGCTAGCGGTGCAACGTTGATCCCAAAGCGCCACCAGGGCTCCTTTAAAACACTAAATGTAAGTCAAATTCAGTCTCCTCCCCTTCAGGCAAACGGAGCTCTGAACCCATCACTTTCCTCTCAAGGAATAATTCCAATCTCCTCCTAAAAGGCCTTCGCCACTCAAGCTCCTAGCTTCTCCGGAACAAGTGGAAGAACTTCAAGGCAGGTCGAGGATAAGACACCGAGTTTGAGTCTTAAGAAAACGTTCAGCCAAATGAACTGTGGCCCGTGCCACCGAAGTACGCACTATAGCCGCGATTTTTGAGAGAGAAAGACGGGAGTAAGAAGAAAGCTTACCTTCAGCCCCAACCCTAGGGATTCAGGTTGCCCTCCCGCCCCTCCCAACTCGAACCTGACAGGACCTTAGACTGCGCGTCCTGAGATCCCATCAACCTTTACACCTCCCTCACAACGGGGCTCACGCTTACGGTTCTGAAGCACCCCAAATCACCAGGCTCCCCAGGATTCAGGCCGCCGTCGCTGCCGCCATATTACAGCTTGTGCGGCAAAATGCGTCAGGAAGGGAGGTGTGCGCCCGAGTGGAGGGCGGGGGCTGGCGGGGAGAAGAACGTTTCCTCGGCCCAGAAAAGTCGGCCGGACGCCTCCTCCCGCTGCAACAACTGCACACCCAGCGCCACGGTCCGCAGACGCCGCCCTGGGCCCGGGCAGCTCCGGCAGCTCGCGGGCAAAGGCAGTTAGCTCGGCCGGGCCTGCCGCGACAGCTCCGCCCCTCCTGCTAGGCCTGACTCTTGGCCTGTCGGGGGCTGTGCCACGCACGGGACGCGCCGAAACCGCCGGAGCCTCCCGCCGCCCACCTGCACCGGTAGTCTCCTCGTGCCGGGGTCCGGTCCTCCACAGCGCTTCAAATCTACCGCCGCCAGAAAAGGCGCTAAAGTCTGCTAACCGCCTCCCTCCCCCACAGCCCCTTCCCGGCGTGGAGGGCTGTCGTCGCGCCGGAAACACGTCAGAGGTTGAGTGCCCTACCTCCCGGCGGTCCCCTGCTTGCGTCATCGAGGCGCCCTCTGGAGTCCTAGGAATCGCGTATTTGTTAAAGACATAGTCTGTGTGCTTTATGTGTGGGTTAATACGTAACCGGCGGAACGCCCTCTGGTTCCTGAAATGGAGGGCTTCGCCGGATAAATACTTACGGACCCTCTGCCAGGGAACTGGAAAGAAAGCCCGACTCCAGGCCACGTCCAGTTCTGCTCTCAGATCACACTGTGGCCCAAGTTCCGAAAAACCAGAAACACACACGTGTGCTGTTTGCGGCCACAAGAAGAAATTTTTTGAAAAGTGGAGTTTGTGTTTTTTAATTTTTAATTTTAATGGACTTTGAGTACTGGTTTATTAGGTATTTTGTTTGTGTCCAACATTCTTCATCATGAATTAACAAAATGATTATATTCCTATTAATTTCTTAGGTTTCTACTTACTAGTAGAGGTAATCCCATTGCTCTTAAGTGTGATTGATATTGTACGTAACTACAAAGGGCTTTAGAAGTTCATGGGAAAAAATGGAAAGATAATGGAAAATTTTCAGGAGCTTTCTTAAGCCCCCTGTATGAATGTATTCTCCCCTTTTTCAACAGTCAGGTTTTTCTTTACTTTTTTTAAGCTATATTATAAACCATTATAATGTAGTTAACATGTTGGAGTGTTAAAGTTGCTTGTTGTGGTAGTTACATAATCTAGGATCAATTTGGAATTTGAGAGGATTAAGAGTGAAGGGGTGGAATCTAGTCTGTCAATTGGGTCATAGCCAATGAGGCCTCTGTTTGGGTATGGTCTTCTGAAAATTCTGGGACTTCCTGCATTTTTCCTCCAGGGAGTGTGGAGGCCCTCCTTTCTCAGCTCATTCCCTTGGAGACACTCTACTGACAAGACACAAGACACTACACTGATACACCCTGTGCCCTGGGAACTGAAGGAGACCCCTGCCAGCGCTGAGATGCTTACAACACCACTGGATCTGCAAGATTTCCAACCCACTGGCCTGCGATCTTCCTGCATTTGGCGTCATTGCATGTGTTTCATGAGTCAGAAGAGGATTTTATAGATTAGTATTAGACATTTGGGCTAATATCGGACTTAGGGACTTGATCTGAACTGGGCTGGGACGTTTTCTCAATGTTCAATTGCTCTCGTATATAAACCTCTTTCTTATGTACATATGAGTCTCCCTGGATTTGTTTCTCTAGTATACCCGGACTAACACGCTTGTCTTATTCTATGGTATATCATCTTCATAGATACAAGAAGTTATGAATAATTCTTTGATAGTAAACTATTATTATGTATTTAGTAGACATAGAATATATTATAAGTGGTCAGATTTTAGGATACTTGTGTAAGAAACTTTGAAGCAGTATCCCAAAACTAATTCCAGGACTGGTGGCTGGGGCTGAGCCAGAACAAAGATTTTACTGCTCTTTTCTGAGGAAGAATTAGCTTTATTTAATCTTGAGGTTAAGTTTCCCAGAGTTTTTAGTGCTAAAATACCCTGTTAAGAAATGGTGGTTGAATCCTGTTATCTTGTGCATACACCCTTCCCCATTCCTTACACACACACCCCTCTCCTCACTGGTTTTAAGTGTATAAAAGGACAAAGAGATTCTTGCCGTTTGCTTCAGTTTGGACCCTGCGTGGCCATGCTGTAGCCCAAATCCGGATTTGCTTTTCTCTAACCTTTGCCTCTTTTTCTCTAGTAAACCTTTGCTCTTCTCTAATAAACTTTTGCCTTGTTACTTTGCAAAAAAAGAAAAAAGAAATGGTGGTTGAGAATGTGATAGTTCCACACGGAAGAAGCACACTAGCTTGTGGGATCCAAAGATGACAGTTACAAACTTCAAATATGGTGAGGAGAAAAGCATCAGGGCACAATTACGAACATCCAATGTGTGGAGGGCTGTGGGGACGGTGGGAGCCCAGAACCCATCTGCAGCGCATCTCGTCAGACTGAGTCCCTGGCAGATCCACTCTAGTCACAGGTAAGAGTCTCAGACAGCTTTCCTATCAGGCAGAGACCGCTGTAATCTTGATGATGCTGGATTGAGTTTGACAGTTGGCCACCCTATATGTGTGACCTGAGTTTGTTTTGGGTGGAAGCATCTCTTACTGGTTCCATGACAGAAATTTCTGCCCTGGCTTTTTTAATGTTGTCGGGGAATCTTTTTCTTCTTACGCATTATTTCTATTTCTTGTCTGTATACTATTATCTTTTTGCCCTTACCACCTTAGCACAATTTTGTTTTTTTATTGCTTTCTGTTGAGTCTTCCAGCTGGGAAGCACAGGAGTGGAAGCATCATGAGAACAACTGATACAAGGGGTTATAGGGAATGCAAGGGTGGGGGGTTATATAACAGGGAGGATCAGGGGATTTGGGGAGTAAATAATGAAGGTGGGAGGGGGAAGGGAGCACTAGAACAGATTGTGATTGTGTAACTCATTTTAGAGACAATTTAACCATGGGAGCGGGGGGTGCTCTAAAATTGACATGGAGGTAAGTACAATACTCCTTGATATGACTGAATGATTGAACTATTGAGTTATAAGATAGGTAAATCACTTGTCAATAGAACTGTTGAAAAAAAAGGATATGATAAATGTGTGCTTTTTCTACGTGTCTTTATTTGGTTAAATTAAAAACTCACATTCTCTGTTGGGGCTTAAATCTGTTGAAATGTCATTTGTCTGTGAAACCCCACATTTCCCAAACTGATTTGACATGGGTTTATTGTTCCAAGAAAGAAACTGTAGGGTAAAGATTTAAGTTTGGCTTTCTGTGTGTGGTTTCTGAAAATTTCCTGAGCAATTAAGTTACTCTTTGTCTTTCTAAACTGCCAGGCTAACAGGGACTACATAGGCCCCACATGAGTGGAATGAGCTTCAGGATGCATGACACGCATGATTGCAGTCATGCATATTCATTGGCTGTGCTTATTCATCAAGCACCTGAAGATTGGAAGACCCTGGAGCTTGAAGCTCTTTCTTTGAGGCCTCCCGGTTTGGTGAGAACATCCCTGAATGGAAAGGGTGGTACCTCTGGGGTAGTAGAAGCTCTTCCAGACCCTGCTGCTCTGCACTTGTGTCCTTTCTGATGATCATAAATAGATAACTGTAAGAACAGGTAATGATGCAACCCAACCCAACCCGCGGTATTCCACTTAGTTCCAACCCATAGCAACCTTATGTAAGGTTTCTGAGACTGTAAGTCTTTACAGGAGCAGCCAGCCTCATCATTCTCCCAGGGAGCTAATGGTTAGTTTGAATCTCCTAACCCTGCTGTTAGCAGCCCAATACCTAACCTATAGTGCCACCAGGACCCTTTAAGTGCAGGTAATATTCTCTGTAAGTTTTGAGAGCTATTATAGAAAGATAGTGAACTATAAAGGGCAATGAGTCATTGAGTAGATTTTTGTAGACTGCGTGGCAGGGTAATAGAGAAAGGCTATAAGGCTAGTCAATGAAGAAGGTTAGAGCCCTTTCTAGTTTGTGACCTAAGGACGAGAGAGACAGACAGAGAGACCGGGAGAGAGAACACAAGCGCAAGGCAGGTCAGCTGATCTAGAATGCAGAACAACGTGCAGACTCCTGAAGCTATGACTTCTGCCACCTACTGTGGCAGTTACATAATCTCTGTTAACTTGAGCAAAGGGGTGGAGTCAAGCCTGTCAATCAGATCACAGCTTGATGACCTCATTGAAAGATGCTATGGAGATAAATAGCTCACTGGAGGCCAGACCCAGTCTCTCTGCCTTTCCTTTCTTGCTGTTGAGCCAGTCCGAGAACTGGAGGAGGCATGTGGAAACCTGTGCCAGCACTGAGATGTTTCCACTGCCACTGGAGCCACAAGACTTTCTACCCACTGGCCTGTGGTCTTCCTGCATTCAGCATCATTACATGTGCGGCGTGAGTCTAAAGAATTTATGGACTAGTATCAGACAAATGGGCTAATATCGGACTTATGGATTTGATTTGGACTGGGCTGGGATGATTTCTCAATCTACAATTGCTCTTTTATATAACTTTCGATTAATAAAAAGAAGCTGACTGTGAAAAAACTCTTATACACATCTGAGTGCCTATGCATTTGTTTCTTTAATCAACCTGGATGAACACACCTGCACTCAGCTGACCAAGGATTTTTTTCAGCTCAGGAAGCTGGGGGTGAGGTGTGAGCTAACCCTAAGTGGTTGGGGTCAAAGTGAAGAGTTGTCATGCAAGTGGCTGGCAACAAGGAGTGGAAATGTGGGAAGGTGAAGGCTACATCCATTTCCAGCAGGACATTAGATTCATGCTGATTCTTGCCACAAAGTGATAAAGGTAGTGTTTTCCTACCTTGCCCTTTTTGTAATGCAATCGGCAAATCCAATCTAATAGAAGCTATAGTTAAGGTTTTATATTGATTCGGTTGGCCCTTAATTCTTAGGGGGTTTCAGTTATGCAGTGATATAATTTGGTAATTATGTAATGATGTAGCAGTCAGCCTACATTTCGTGATCTGATGTGGCTATCCTTTATTTTTGCATATTTCCAGTTTCTCATAATGACCTGGTCTTTGGTACCTCACTATGTTGATAAGTGGACAGTGGGAGTGTTTTACACTTTTGTCCTTTTATGCCTGGTTTATTCCACTCAGCTTCATGTTTTCAAGGTCCCCTTCATAGCAAGTATGGCCACATTGTAGGGATATGAGGAACAAGGTGTCAGAGTGGTTAAATCGCTCAAATGCTAACCAAAGGTTGATGGTGTGAACTCACTAGCCACTGTGCTCTGCGAGAGAAAGATGTGGCAGTCAGCTTCCGTGAAGATTTACAATCCTGGAAACCCTGAGGAGCAGGCCTACTCCCTCCTCTAGGGTTGCTATGAGAGTCAGAATCAACTTGACAGCAGTAGGCTTAGATTCTGTTTGATGCATGTATATATTACATACAGCTTA